GGCTTGTCATTTTTGGTGCCTAAAAACCCCACTTTCCTCTATGTTTTTCCTTTACTTGGAGAAGTATCAGAACTTAGAATGGTATCGGTGCATCCCTTATATATATTTATATAAAACAAATCATACATTAAACCAGAGATGTACAAATCCCAGGAGCTCCGTATGGTCCTTAAAAATGACAGCTGCCTCCTAACTTTTGAATTTGAAGTCAAAAAGTATTGAAGTCAAAGGGTTAGCATGGCAGCCAGGCAATTAGCATTCTAAGATGAAGATCAACATATACATTTCTCAGTAAAGGTTTCTTTTTATTTAAGGCTCCCATAAACATGAAATGATCATACCACAGCCCTCATGTCTACAGCTGCCAATGAACTACTGCAGACACCCCGTACTTTGCTATTTATGTCTAATCACTGTTGCTCTCCTAGAGATACAAGCACAGTGATTTGGCACTTTTTATGTGGAAGACAAGAAGATATTTGCAAATAAATAATTATATTCCTCCCTGAATTTTAGGGCATAGGAGGAGCACCAACACTAAACTCCACCTACAGCATTGCGTGCCTAAGTGAACCATTGTCAGTCACAAACCTGGAATTTATTAGGCTTTTTTGGGCTATAAAAACTAACCAAAAACATATTTACCTGTTCTATCAGGCACTACACTTAGGAGCCTTGGTCTGATATGGACACCTCCTACTTTGTGTTGTAATTTGGGTAGTTGTATATGAAACCTTATCTCTTCTATTTTCTTCAGCAGAGTGTTCTACAATTAAGCTGTTACATGCTAAGAAAATACTTGCCTTCTGTAATGTGAAACAAATATATCTGGTTTTTGTCTGTTGAATTCAATAGCACCATATTCATAGTTTCTGTTTTTTCTTTTCAGGCCAGGGGATATAAAGAGCAAACCGCACAGACGCATATTTTATGCCATTCAGGTAAAGGAAAGATAGAGGCTACATAAGTTTAGATCTGGATATACAGAGGAGATGTATTATTACCTTTCTGATTGATAAAAACTGTCAGAATAATAGAAAAATACACACAGAAAGATATCTCACCACTGCTGGAATAGTGAACTTCTAGTTGTGTCCTGGAGTTCCTGGCTCACGTTTCCAAACTATGCAAAGTATCCAGCTAGTCAGTGAAGAAAACTGACAGCACTTTGGACAGAAGCTCCAATAATAAGACCAAATTTTAAAAAGTCCAGTACATATAATATGGACACTAACCAGTCTGAAATGTGCAAGAGTGGTGTAATGTTTGTTTGTAACCCTCTTGCTGCCAAAACTGTTTTTGCACTTTTTGTTGCAGACATGTTAAAATGCAAATTTTAGGCCCCTTTTACATGTGCGGGCCCACCTGTCAGTTTTTCAGCCAGACCCGATTGGATGCTCTATGCAAGTCTATGGGCAGCCGCGTGTAAACGAACGAGTGTTCGTTTATAACCGGTTAGTTGGCTAGGTCCAGAAACACAAACAGATCAGAGATCTGTTCTGACAGACTGGATCGTGCCAGACCGGGGTTTATCTGATGTAAACGGACACATGTCTGTTTACATCAGATTCCCCATAGACACACATGGGGCCCGGCACTTTCAGTTCTTTCCTCCATCACACAATGGAGGAAAAAAATGTATAGACACAGATGTCCCCACTCTGTACAGCTGTCTGTTGATGGATTCTCTCCTGACATGCTCGTCTGAAATGGGACTAAGGCCTGAAGATTAATTGACTCCCCCACACAGAATTATAATGTATATGTCGTGAAAGCAGAGACCCTGTAAGAATAAAATGGTTGCAGTTGCAATTCTTTATGGGGCATGATACTAGTTCAACTGCTTAGCAAACTGTTTTTCAAGAAATGAGTTAACTTACTTAGTTAATCAGTTAATTTTTGGGCACATAAAGATAATATATTACCCATTTTTGTTGGTAAAATATAAAAAATGAGGTTGTGGCAAGTAAATAGCACCAAACATGTCAACCTTCAAAACTGCATACGCCTCTGTTAAATGACAAAAAACTACAGTACCCAAAATTGTCTATAGGCGATGGTTAAAAAACGTTTACAGATAATTAATACTTAACCATGAATGGGGCCAACCATGTTGGTCCTAGAATTATTGCTCTTCAGCATGCACAATGATACTGTAGCTAACATGTGGTGCAAAGTCGTGTTCACACGCAGGTGCACCCAGCGCATGTTTGTATCAATGTGTGTGTATGTGGGGCGGAGGGGATTTTTTGGAGAAAAAAAAATGGGGGTGTTTTTACATTTATTGTATTTAATTTCTTGCTTGCTTAATTTCTTTTCGTTTTGGGCCTGCCTTCTGCTTGGGGAGCCAAGAGGTGCTGAGCAAGGCTAGCAAATGTAAAAAATACATTGGTTGTATGAAAGGCATTCTATAAATAAGAGTCAGTACAGCTATGGGCACTGAGCAGATACCCTATAGCACCAGTTTATTGTAGCCTAATGTTCCTCCATATTCCATTTATATAGGCATCCTTAAAGAAGAACTCCGGGGGGGGGGGGGATTTTATTAACCCTTGCAGTGGGGCTACCTCTGCAATGCAAGTGTTAACTGCTCATTTTTGTTTAGGTGCTAAACAAAAAGTTATAATCACTCGATCATTCGCGCTGGCTTGTTCTTAGACTGGTCCAGGGCCTCTCTCCCCCTCCTCTGCAGCAGTCTAAGAATCCTTGTGTCATCACATTCTATACAAGAGCACACCGAGGAACATTCCATGTGTGCAGCAGAGCAGGGGACCAGGTTCAGTGACCGGAGACACAATGGGGTTGATTTACTAACCTTATAAACACACCACGAACATGTATACACCTCTGTAGTGTGTTCCCTCCCAGCATGATCTATGGGTGGAATCTAAACACCTTTGTAGTGTGTACACACCCAGCAGGTGTGTTGTGTAAAGCCAAGCATGAATTGCAAGGTGATGTTGTGTAAATTAGCTCTATGTTGTGTTGCTTGCGTTGATGAATGCAGGAATGTAAATGCATAAGCTAACCATTTTTGTCTAAACTGTGAAGCAGCATTATATATGCATCATGTGCATGATTTTTCCATATATGGCATTAGTGGAAATATGCTTTTAGAGACTTTTTGGTTGATAAATACGTTTTGCTGTGTGAAAATCACACGCACCTAGTGCGTGCGTGTGTTTAGGTTAGTAAATCACCCCCAGTAAGTCAGCAGTTTGGGTGAGTTTAATTTTTCTTTTTTTTAGCACCTAGACAGAAACAGGCAGTTATCCCCTGCAGTGCTGGGGTAGCCCCATGGCAAGGTTTAATAACATTTTTCCCTGGAATTCTTCTTTACCCTCCTTAATTCTTAACCCTGAGAAGATTATGATTGGAAGATGGTAGGTCCCAACCACTGCCTCAATTTAAAATGTGTCTTAGACTGGCCAGATGGAGGTCAATATTTTAAGGCCTCTGGCTACTTTCAGGCTGTTTCCTAGTTTATACTCTGTTTTTCCTTCTTGTTCATCCTGCTTGTCTATCTTTATTTCTTAGCAGATACCACAGAAAAGGTTACATTTATTGTAAAAACTCCACGCAGGCTGGTTCCAGGCTCTGAATATGCCCACATTGTAGTTGTAGGTAAGAACCAAATACTGTGGTTTCATTTTGTAGGTACAAGTATTTCCTTTAGATCCCCATCAGTTGTTCTAATCCCTTTTGGCAGGTGACCTCATGGGCAACCCAATCAAAAATCTGGAAGATATACTTGCATTACCAGATGGATGTGCGGAGCAGAGCATATCCAAACTTTCTAGATGTGTTACAGCCCTAGAATATCTACAGAGTATCAATAAACTCGCATCTGAAACTAAAGAAAAGCTTCTGGAGGGACTAGTTGAGGGTAAGTTGTTACAGATGAGGGTAGCAGTGACTTAAAACAGGGTGACTCTGTTTCAAATGTCACTTTATGCAAAAGACATACCTTCTGATAGCCAGTCTGAATGGACAATATGGCAAATTGCTGACTTGACAAGACCTACAGACAGTTTAACCCTTTAAGAGAAGTTGAATCCAGTATAGATTTACTCTGCAGTTAAAACAAAATGAAACTGAACATTGTGAGGCTGTGAGTGTCTAGCTAAAAAACAAACTGGCTAACAACAAACAGGAAAGGGGAACATACCAATACCAATAAAAAATTACAGCATGTAAGCCAGATAAAAAGGCTGTTTACAACACATACATCACTTTTTTGCCTTTTAAATGATTAAAGCATTCAGTCAGTTATGTACTGCATACCATGAAAAAGCAAAAGCCACAGCATTCATATGACTGAATTTAGCTGAAGTGGCAAATGAACTCTGTTAACATTAGCAGCCACTGAATCAGCCAAAAACTGGTAAAAGCATTATGTATTCTGCACAAGATAATGTTGCACCTGCATGGGGTTTATTAAATTAACATATAAGCAGGAGAAGGGGGCGGTACGGATCACCGCAGCTCTTGTCGGGCGGTGGAGGAAGCCGTGTACCAAAGCGCTAGTTGGGTGCAGAGGAGGCCGGGAACCAGAAGTGCCAGTCGGGGGTCCGATGGGAGTGCAGTCGGGATCCGAAAGTGCCTGCAGCACTAGTGGTCCGGTGAGTGGGGCGTTCTGGATTAGTGCTTAATTGCCACGGGTGCAGTACAGCCTTCTCGGCCAAAACTCTTCTATCTACTTCTATCTGTGGTGGGCTCCCCTGAGACCCTACAGAGCCCACCAGAGATCCTTCACATCCCACCGTAGACCCCGCAAGCCCACCACAGATCCTGTGGAGCCCACCTGAGACCCCAGCTTTCCTGCTCCGCTAATAGTGGAACATGTCAAAAGCTGCATACAGCGTGTATGCTGCATGCAGCGACTGACAGGTTAAGCAAAAAGTCAAAAACATGAAGGGGTGGAGAAAATTTAGGGCGGGCGCCTGAGTTTCATCTTGCATAGGGCAGCCCCAAACTAAAATACACAACTGAACCAAGCCATTTCAAAAATTCTACTTTTAACATTTCATAGCCCCAAGCATTCTTTATGGACCATGTCAAAATAAGCACTTTGAGAATTTCCAGACAGAAAAGGAAACACAAGTCCCAACAGATGTACTTTGAAGCACAACTTCCATTAAGTAGTAGTGCAAATGAAGGCATCCACATCATTATAAGTAATTTTTTTTAAATGTTGCCTGGTCAAGCCTTTATTGCCATTGACAACTAAAGGCACATCCGGGTTCTGGCCTGGAAGCTGCCAAACGACATCACATGGTTTTCCTGGATTTTGATGGGTATTTGGTACACACAAAATTGATTTATATTATTTGGGGCTGTTGGGGAATGTTCTGGGGTATATAACAAATATTTAGCTTTACTGTTTAAATTTTTAGATCTCTAACGCAGATCTATAAAAAGGTGTGGGCCTTAGACAAAATGTGGACAGTTCAGGGTAACTTGCCTGGAGGAGAAATACAGGAGCTGCCAAAAGTGACCCCCTTCCTATTGTCTGACTGTCTCAAGTTTCAGTAATTTCTCAGACATTGACCCACAATAAACATGCAGATTAAAAAGACAGAGCCAAGTCAGAATTCCTGATCTGCATACTTGTTCCAGGTTGCAAGCTTAGAAAGGGTTGAAATCATTAAATCAGAAAACCATCCAGGCAAATAGCATTTTCAGAAGGTAAAGTCAGTAATGGTAGTCTCCATGTTAGCTCAGCTTCCTTTTAAATATAACCAGGATTTAGGTATTGAAGTGCTGGTAGGTACTGTATTTGTTTGCTAATTTGTTGACCTCTTATGTGCAATTTGTTTTCAACATTAGCATAAAGTATACAGTAAATGAACTTTAATATAAGCATATCCATTTCCCTTTGCAGGTTACCAAAAACAACTAACATTTAAAAACCAAAATGGCTCTTATGGATTCTTTACTGCAAGTACACCTACTACATGGTATGTACCAAATTATGACGCATCAACCATGGATGGAAATGTTATGTGTTTTTGCTTTTTTTGAGAAGCTTTTGAAATATTAATACATACAGTTACAATTCATACAGTAGTTTTTTTCTACCAAGATGTTCACTTCAATACAGATGCAAAACAAGGTTTGGTAAGTCAGTAATGTGTAAAAGATCAGCCATAGGGAGATCACTGGCTTTAATGACTAGCCCTTTGCTTTTTGCCTGCCTTTTAGGCTAAGCTTCAAGAGTTCAGCTCCTCGTAATTTTTTCTGCTTTCTTTGCATCAAATGCACCAGCTGACTATTTTTTTCTCATTCAGAAAAACATATTATTTATATTATTTATTTTATTTATTTTATTATTATTTATATTAAACACCTTTACTAAACTATTATTATATCAAAGTAGCAAATTCTGACTAAGAATTCATCTTGTGCTAGTCTTGACTTCTAGAGGGGGATTTTGGACTGACTGCTATGGGTTACTGTACTTAAATACCAAATGCTTGGAATTAGGGATGCACCGATACCAAGTACCATACTCGGTACAAGAACATGTACAGATACTTATCGAGCTCCAAGACTAGACTAGAAAAAAATTCAAAGTTAGGAGGCAGCTGTCATTTGTAAGGAGCACACGGAGCTCCTTGGATTTCTACATCTCTGTTTTAATGTATGATTTTGTTTTTATTAATATATATTAGGGATGCACTGATGCCATTTTTGTGAGTACAAGTAGTGATACTCGCCCAAGTACTCACAGATACAAGTAATGATACATTTTTGTTTATTGTCATGTGAGAGTTTTTCTAAAATAATACAGACTAATGATTTCAGGACAGTGGTGGAGCGCTAGAGCCAGGTCCCAGCTTCAACCGTTGCAACCCTGGTAGTTCTCATGAAAATGCCAAGTATCAGCACTGGTATCTGAACTGGTATCGGTGCATCCCTACTAGGATTTTTTTACATTAATGCATTCTCACCATTAAGGTATAATATGCCCCAGTGTCTCCCAAACTTACTATGTTTCCTTATGACTGCTGTTGGCTCCAGGTCCCACTTCCCTGAACTTCTGCCTTGTGTAGCGCACTCCCTCTGTGCTTCCGAGAACATAGAGAGTGCATGCTCCAGCTGCTATCAGGCATGCAGGGAAGAGGGGAAAAGGTGAGTGACTTGCTACTGGGAGTTTGTGTGCCTACGGACGTATGCTGCCTGCTAGGAGGGAACACGCAGAGGTGTCTCCGTGCAAAACAATGGAGACACCTGAAAATATGCACAGGAAAGGGGGTTTTGTCAGGACTTCAGACAAGGTTAGAAATAAGGTCTGCTGCGCTGTATTATGTTTTATAATATAAGGGTTCATAGTTCAGTTTCTAAATAATCCACAACTCCAAAGCACAGAACCACTTTAAAATCCCCCCCCCCACAAACCAGGGTATAGTGTAAATATTGTGCAGAGTGAAAAATGGGAGAATTTTGGGTTAATTTCAGAACACGTTTACCTTCATTTAGTGATAAAAAGGGTAAACTGTGCAGTAAAAAACATTCCCATTAAAGAACACATGTGGGGTAAACCTTGTTTGATAAAATTTAACACATGTGAATCTTGTTGATGAAACTTCTCTATGGATGACTCGTGTTTGAAAATGGGTGCCGGGTAAGCTGTGCTATTGCAGTACCTGTACACAGTGTGGGGCTGTAAAACAAAATGTAAACATTGCAGGGTAAAAGCGAGATTGCCACAGTTGCGCTGTTAGGTTCGCTGCTGCCACAGGCAGATTTTGGGCAAAGGCCCGAGCAGAATAATAGAAAATATATAATACTACATTCTGTTGTCTGAGGTGTGTGTTCCCTGTTCCCTGATGCTTTTTTCCTTACTCTGCACTGAGCATTTTCTATTCTGCACTGCCTCATTTTATACTCTGTGCTTTCCCTATTCCCCACTGCCTCATTCCATACTCTGCAATGCGTCCCCTATTCTAAACCATCTTATTCTGTGCTCTGCGCTACGTGTTCCCTATTCGACACCACCTCATTCTGTGCTCTTTGTTCCACACCACCTTATTACATGCTCTCGTTTATCCACAATGGTAAAAATTCAGTTTTGTATTTAGATATACTTTATGAACCTCTGGCTTAGAGGACAATGATATAACCAACTAATGAAATGTTTTTGATTTTTATACCGCCTCTCTTGAAACTATATTTTCTTGCAGGGTAACGTCATTAGTAGTGAAAGGTTTTAGTAGCGCCCTGCAGTTTATCTATATAGACGAGAAGCACATTCTGGATTCTATTCAATGGCTGGAAAGTAACCAAATGCCCAATGGATGTTTTAATGATACGGATTCCTTCCTTTTTTATAACGAGGGTGTGAGTAGTAAAGATCTGTTTCACTAATGTACTGGTACTGAATATTCTTCAAATCAATCTTCTAATGAATTTGTAATCCGTTTCACACATTCATATACAAATTCTGTTGCTACCGAGTGGTATGAATTGCTAATTTGTAAATGTAGCTCTTTAAAGATCACCTCCTCCATCTATTTGCTGTTAACCCCCTCTTTCCTTGTACAATGGGTTAATCTCAGATAGCATACTAACCCATCCAGCAAATCAAGTGTTATCCAGCTGTGATCTGCCAATCCCCTGCCTCATGTTAGGTAGTCGCAAACTGCCTCCTGGGATGTCTGACGTAGACATCCCAATCGGCAGCGGGAAAGGAAGAGCAGTACATTATCCTCATCTAGACTGGGATTAAAGAGGACAGCCATTCAAAATACGCTGCCCAGCGCCGAGTGTCAACATGAGGTGGGATGGGTGGGTTGGGGGTATGGCTACGAGGGAGGTCATCTATGTGTGCATTGCTTACAGCTCCCTCACATGTCCTGCAGAGGTGTCTGCAGCGGAGTGACATCACATTCTGGCTCCCGGCACCTCTACAGGGCATGCAAGGGAGCTGTACATATGGATAGAGCTCTGTCACAGCTCAGCAGTCCACATTGGATCCCAGGCTGAGGATCCACTCCAGTTCTCGTAAGGTATGGAGGCTGGTTGGACTTTTAAAAAATGTGTGTGTGTTAAAATGTCAGTGAATGTGTGAGATTGTCTTTGTGGTTGTGTATGTATGTCAGTGTTTTTGAGCGCCCATTCACACTAGTACAGTGGGTTAATCGCAAATCGTTAACACACTGTACCACACAATTGCACCTACCATGCTTTCTGGTGTGGGAGGTATAGCTCCGGCCATTCATTTAAAAGGTACCTCGAATGCACTTCCCACCCACAGTTCCTACACCCGCACCGAAAAGCGTGCTACCCTAATGCCGTGCGTTCCATTGCAGTGCGACCTGGGTCTTGACTTAATGACCGAGGACAAATGTGGGTCCTGAGGTTACACAGGTTGAGAACCACTATTATAGAGTACAATGGGGGAATTAGAAACAGCCATCTTGTAGCACCACGATGGTGAGAATAGACCTGGGAACTATAACTGGGAGGTCTCCAAATGTGCCTGATATATCCCTTTTGAGGGGCTGACCCGTTAAACATTTGACTTTTTTTAGGAGGAGAGAAAAATCACACAAGCTGCCTATATCCTCATCTCTCTGCTGGAGCATCCAATTGCCCACAACAGTTTTTTAACTTAAAACATTTAGAAAGAAAACCTAAAATCTGTGGTAAAACTTTTTATCTAATTTTAATTTAAGGCTTAAATCCAGTGGAATTAAATAATGTCTAAACGTTGTAGACATAACTTGAATTTCGATGTGCTATGTGTATTTCTTCTAGATCTGTGCATTAATCCAGCATTTACGTTTGCCTTTATGCAGAATCTTCCTGTAATAAAGACCAGTCAGTGCTGCAGTGTGCAGGGTGACAGGTCTTGTATATGCTCTCATTCTCTATTTTGTGGGCCTGCTGGGTCCATCCCACAGCTCTCCTCTCTGCACGGGCTATGTGCAGCACGGTGATGATGTCACTGTTGCTTTTAAAAAGTAATAACTGGGTTTGAAAAGACATATGGTGCACACAAAGTGGATTTACGTAAACAACTACACCCCCCCGACAGTGTATTGTATGCAAAGGTAGAGCTGGTGTTTAATGATCATGTTACAGTTGGTAACAGGGAGGGGGGCAGATGTTTACAGTCTGACTCTGGTGTCAGATGGTGTTTCCTGTGGAGAAAACTTTAAATTTTTAGGCTTCAGGCCTCATAAAAACTTCATAAAGAATAAAGAAAGCCTGCAATGTAAGTTATGAAAATGTACACACATTTACTGTACATCACTGCAACTCTATTTTTACCACAATAAATGCTAATCACTTACAAAGGTGGATGTTTTTGTGTCTTGTTTGTTGGTTCATCATTCATTCTATTATGTGCTCTTTGTCTAGGGAAACATTGTAGAGAATGCTAAATCCTGCATAAGCAAAGGAGCAGAAACTGTTAATACACCCTTTAACTTGGCTGTCATGGCTTATGCCTTCCCCTTATCAGGAGACACTGAGCTGAGAGCACTCATGCTCAAACGCCTGGAAGAGCATGCCCAGAAGGATGACAGTAAGTAGTGTGATCTATTCCATATATATTTGTGCCAATCACTGATTTCTAACTGCTAAAGACTCTCTAGACTTATCCTTCAAACAGTGTGAGACAATGATGGAGCATCTACAGGTATCCTGCAGTTACTCTCTTGCCCAGACCCACTTTTTTTTTTTTAAATCGATTTCACAATGTTTCTGTGCAACGTCTCTTCCTGTTCCTAGACCATGCTGTCTGACAACACCGTCAATAGAGTTCAGTTCTTAGAAGCAGGAGTGGACAGGTTATCCCTATCAAGCGCCTCATGTGAGGTTAGAATATGGGAGGATGCATAGGCACTGTCACGTGTGAATAAGCTCTCTCCTTCTAATCAAGGAAAATATGCCAAGGCTTCTTTTTTTTTTTTTTGCTTACTTTTTTGTGATAATCAACTGTGCTAAAAATTCAATTTTTGACGGGTAGTTGTTCCAGTGTATGTAAACCTTAACATTGAATTCTCTCATTTGCTCCCTTTTTGGTCTGTTAAATATACAGTCGACCCCCGCAAAGTCCCGGTTCAGAGTTCGCAGCCTCAGTCATCCGCGGATTTAAATATCAAGGGCGTGTAGCTATTGAAGTAGAATAAAACGAAGGATCGACACCAGGCAGCGCCTCAAGAAGTAGGTTTTATTTCGGCCGGCCAGGAACATACAGCACTCAAGGCATGTTCAAATAATATGGGCTTGCAGGCTCCTTTTTATAGGGTTTTGGAACAAAACAATTAAATATGTTACCTCCAAAATCAGATAACAATGACATCTGTATTTCATTTAATTGTACCAAGATCATGAATTTACATTTATTCTTTTGGATAGATTTGGATAAATTTCAAGGTTATGGGACAGCTGTTCATTAAAACAAGGTCAGAAAAAGGTGCTAAGACTTTGGGGTTGATTTACTAACCTTATAAACACACCACGAACATGTATACACCTCTCTAGTGTGTTCCCTCCCAGCATTATCTATGGGTGGAATCTAAACACCTTTGTAGTGTGTACACACCCAGCAGGTGTGTTGTGCAAAGCCCTGCATGAATTGCAAGGTGATGTTGTGTAAATTAGCTCTATGTTGTGTTGCTTGCATTGATGAATGAAGGAATGTAAATGCATGAGCTAACCATTTTTGTCTAAACTGTGAAGCAGCATTATATATGCATCATGTGCATGATTTTTCCATATATGGCATTAGTGGAAATATGCTTTTAGAGACTTTTTGGTTGATAAATACGTTTTGCTGTGTGAAAATCACACGCACCTGGTGCGTGCGTGTGTTTAGGTTAGTAAATCACCCCCCTTGTCTCTAAAGGTGGTCATACATCTGCCGATTATCATACGATAATCGCGGGAAATCCCACGATTGTACAATAATTGGTAGGTGTATGGAAGGCGTGCGACCGTTTCTACTGCACGGTCGCACGTCTTTTGTCTTACGAGCACGTTGGAAAACCAGCGGAAAATCTTAACATTTTCGGCGGGTTTGTGGCGTGCTCGTAAGACAAATGCCGCACGGGCCAGTGTGCGCAAGCGCACACTGCCCGCTCAGCATTGCAGTCATCGGAAGCCCTCCCCTCGGCGGGGAGGACTTGCGATGATCGCAAGTACGATCTGCCTGTCCAAGATGGGCAGATCGTACAAGCTTGTAATTACCTTACAACCATCGCAAGACGAAAGTCGTGCAATGGTTGTAGGGTGTATGGCCAGCTTAAGCACCTGATACACCAACCCATGTTGTACCTGAACTTTAGTTGACCTCGATCTACAAAATCAAATGTTGTACATGTTGCTTAGAATATAACAAAATATATATGTATTCTATATATAAGATCAGGATAATAAGTATATATGTATATATTGACTATAACTGTAATATATTTAATAGATAGATAGATTATTGATTACACAAATGTACTATGTGTATATGTGAATGCAAGACTAAACCGTTTACTTGCTCATTATTCTCTACAATGCATTGCCAGTATGAAGAGATGTGTTTCAAATATATCTGCCTAAATGTGTGCTCAAAGTTATACAAAACTATGCAACTAAAAATGCAGTGCTTGTGAAGCTTGTGTTTTCTATGAAGGACACTAAGAACAATAAAATAGTTCTTTCAACATATCTATGTAACTACATCATAATATGCATGAATAGTTCAGTGATAAATACGTATCTCTAATATAACGAGATACTCTATAACAGTGGTTATCTCAACCTGTGTAACCTCAGGACCCACATTTGTCCTTGGTCATTAAGTCGAGACCCAAGTTGCACTGCAATGGAACGCATGGCATTAGGGTAGCACACTTTACGGTGCGGGTGTACGAACTGTGGGTGGGAAGTGCGTTCGGGGGTACCTTTCAAATGAATGGCCGACGCTATACCTCCCACACCAGAAAGCATGGTAGGTGCGATTGTGTGGTACAGTGTGTTAATGCTATGCGATTAACCCACTGTACTAGTGTGAATGGGCCCTCAAAAACACTGACATACATACACAACCTCAAAGACAATCTCACACATTCACTGACATTTTTACACACACATACACAATTTTTTTTTTTTTAAAGTCCACCCAGTCTCCATACTTACGAGAACTGGAGTGGATCCTCAGCCTGGGATCCAGTGTGGGCTGTCGAGCTGTGACGGAGCTCCATCCATATGTACAGCTCCCTTTCATGCCCTGTAGAGGTGACAGGAGCCAGAATGTGGTGTCACTGTGGTGCAAAATTTAGCATTGACAAAGCCTGATGAAGGGACCCTGTGTGGTCCCGAAAGCGCTTGTTGGTCATATGACAAAAAAACTTCAATAAATTAAGCTTTTGCTATCCTAAAAGGACTCGTGTGCTGGTGACATTTCTACAATTTTGCTGACATTCGCAGCGCCATCCCCAGTCACTGCGAGCACCCCCCACTACAAGGGACATATTGGTAAGGAGTGCGACAAGGATAGTACTTATTGTCACTCCGGTGCAGACACCTCTACAGGACATGTGAGGGAGCTGTAAGCAATGCACACATAAATGAGCCCCCTCGTAGCCATACCCCCAGCCCACCCATCCCACCTCACATTGACACTCAGCGCTGGGCAGCGTATTTTGAATGGCTATTTGGGGTGAGAACTGACAGTGCTGCGCTAGGGGGAGGCTGAAGAGCCTCTCACCTAGAAAAGTGGAAGGTAAGCAGCGACCCACTGAACACGGGGTCGCGACCCACTTCTGGGTCACGACCCACCAGTTGAGAACCAAGGCTCTACAGGTTCCTAAGATTATGTGGTGTAACTGCTACGTAATGATAATCTTAATTAATGTGAATATATGTGTTAATATAAAAATTCCACTACACTATCTTGAGTGTTCTCGTGTTCTTCTTAAAGCCATAAGATGCCGCCCAAACGCCCTGCACCTTCTAAGGCTTCTGGCAATGCACCTAAGCGCCAGAAGAAGTTTAAGACACTTCAGGAGAAGGTTGAACTACTGGGTTTGCTTCGGGAACTAAAAAGTTATGCCGCGGTAGCACGCCATTATGGCATCGACTAAAGAACCATGACCACATTAAAAATTTGAGGTTTTTCCACAGGTGCTCTAGGAACGTAACCCCTGCGAATTTCGGGGGGTCGACTGTACCGCCGAAAGCATTTGTAATAACTTTTGGAATGAGTGCAATACAAAAAAAAGTTGATCTTCTCAGACGTTGTTCTGTATCATCTCAAACAGTCTAATGAGCCATTCCATTTCTTATCTTGAACTACAGAACAATTTTTCCCTGTGGTGTGGAGATGAGTACAGTGGGAAGAATTCAGTAGTTTAGCAAAAGGGCAGGAAACTGAGTACGTTTCTGGCAGACCCGTGGGTATTTTTCTTTTTTTAATTGCAGAGTCTTTCTTTAAATAGATAAAACATGGGGAGTGTGCATGTATTGCAGAGATGCACTGCATTTTGTTTGCTTTGACATAAGCATTGAGTATAGGTCCATATTAAGTATCTTACTGTAATTATGGCCATTGCAGGTGTCAAAAAAAACCTGGTGAGCATTCTCATCTTCCTTTTAGGGTGCAGTGAGCAGACCTGAGTGGTCAATCACCAAGCAATGAAGTCATATGGTGGAGGGAATTAGGTCATTAACTATTGCTGACATTCGCAGCGCCATCCCCAGTCACTGCGAGCACCCCCCACTACAAGGGACATATTGGTAAGGAGTGCGACAAGGATAGTACTTATTGTCACTCCGGTGCAGACACCTCTACAGGACATGTGAGGGAGCTGTAAGCAATGCACACATAAATGAGCCCCCTCGTAGCCATACCCCCAGCCCACCCATCCCACCTCACATTGACACTCAGCGCTGGGCAGCGTATTTTGAATGGCTATTTGGGGTGAGAACTGACAGTGCTGCGCTAGGGGGAGGCTGAAGAGCCTCTCACCTAGAAAAGTGGAAGGTAAGCAGCGACCCACTGAACACGGGGTCGCGACCCACTTCTGGGTCACGACCCACCAGTTGAGAACCAAGGCTCTACAGGTTCCTAAGATTATGTGGTGTAACTGCTACGTAATGATAATCTTAATTAATGTGAATATATGTGTTAATATAAAAATTCCACTACACTATCTTGAGTGTTCTCGTGTTCTTCTTAAAGCCATAAGATGCCGCCCAAACGCCCTGCACCTTCTAAGGCTTCTGGCAATGCACCTAAGCGCCAGAAGAAGTTTAAGACACTTCAGGAGAAGGTTGAACTACTGGGTTTGCTTCGGGAACTAAAAAGTTATGCCGCGGTAGCACGCCATTATGGCATCGACTAAAGAACCATGACCACATTAAAAATTTGAGGTTTTTCCACAGGTGCTCTAGGAACGTAACCCCTGCGAATTTCGGGGGGTCGACTGTACCGCCGAAAGCATTTGTAATAACTTTTGGAATGAGTGCAATACAAAAAAAAGTTGATCTTCTCAGACGTTGTTCTGTATCATCTCAAACAGTCTAATGAGCCATTCCATTTCTTATCTTGAACTACAGAACAATTTTTCCCTGTGGTGTGGAGATGAGTACAGTGGGAAGAATTCAGTAGTTTAGCAAAAGGGCAGGAAACTGAGTACGTTTCTGGCAGACCCGTGGGTATTTTTCTTTTTTTAATTGCAGAGTCTTTCTTTAAATAGATAAAACATGGGGAGTGTGCATGTATTGCAGAGATGCACTGCATTTTGTTTGCTTTGACATAAGCATTGAGTATAGGTCCATATTAAGTATCTTACTGTAATTATGGCCATTGCAGGTGTCAAAAAAAACCTGGTGAGCATTCTCATCTTCCTTTTAGGGTGCAGTGAGCAGACCTGAGTGGTCAATCACCAAGCAATGAAGTCATATGGTGGAGGGAATTAGGTCATTAACTCTGGATGAGCTGCCACACACACTATCTGACATAGAGCTTACAGAGGGTTTAGACCGAGGACATTGAGGTAGTATAGTGAATATGAGTATCGTGTGTGTGTGTGTGGGGG